TGAGAACTGCTACATGTATTTTATTTAACCAGCCATCCACAGTTTTTACACTCCAAACATAATGTGTATGGATGTCGAAATCAAGGAAGAAAATAGAAGTGGATTGCACACACTTTGAAAAACAAAAACAAACATTACGGATTAAGCCTTAAAAACTTAAGATGGAACCCACAAGGAAAGAGGAAGAAAGGGTGGCATTAAGATACGAGGGACTAAGTAGGCCTACTAAGATTCAGACATAAAGGAGATGTGATAGAATCTAGCTGGACGCAGACAGAGACTTAGGGTCTTGTTGGTGGCTTATTTTGAATGTCAAAAGAAGCATGGGCAGAGACAGAAGAAATGTTGCGGCTTCCTCCATCAACCAAAGTGATATCAACGAGATTGTTGACACAAACTCAAAACCAGGGGATCCTGTAATTTATACAGATGGGTCAGTAGAAAGAGATGGTCAGCGAGGTGGACGGGGATTTGTTGAATTCGCAAACAAACAAAATCATCCAAAGTGCATCTGGAGCCTGCAGCAGGGCTACATCAAGTATGTGAATGGAAATTGAAGCCATCACGAAAGCACTTAATTGGATGACCCAACAGATCCTATGCTGTTCTCATCGCTGATTCATGGTGTTCCCTCAGAAGGATAGAAAAAGTTTCCTAAGAACAGAATGGATTCAACTGACCTAAGCAAAGCGTATACGATGGCTCACATAGATTTTCTGCCCAGGCCATGCAGGCGTTAAGGGAAATGAAAAAGCCTACAGACTGGCTGGTGGGACCACCTCAGTTGACAACACGGTTCATCCGAATAGGGTCAAAATCTTGAAATGTCTCTCTCTCCCGCTGATTGAGGAGGAAGATAGGGAGGCAGAGGCCAGTACTCCCGTGGAGAGGATGATGCTTTTGGGAATACAAAACAAAAAGGAAGCGGGAAATCTGGCATCCTTGTAGGAAAGAACAGAAGAAGGTTCAACCAGACATGCTCTATCACAATCAGTGTGTTAAGACCCTCGGCGACATTTTGAAGAGAGCAACGGAGCATCAACGGACATATCCGGAATACATGTACAGGGATGCTGCTTCCTGAAACAATGAACAATGAATGGTGGCATATTATACTCTGGTACAGGGTGAGAAACGCTGCTGCTGCTGCTGCTGCT